AGTCACCTTCCCGGGGGAGCTGTGGACTTCTTTCTCCGGAGGTTCCAGATCCTGGAGAAACTTGTGGTGCTGTAGCCCTGTCAAACTTGCTTCTGATGTCCGCCAGTTGTTCCGCAGTGAGCTGGTTGGCATAGAACCTGTCTGCAGTCCTGGTGTCGTGGCACATGACCCGCGCGAGCTATCCTCTGACCTCGCTGCTGTGTGCATCCCTTGCCTGAAAAACAGAATAAAAATGTATTAAAAAACCTGGTGGTTTTTTTTTCTTTCCCCCCCTGACCGGAGGAATGTGCTACCCACATGTGTCGCCACTGCGCTGCGGAAATCAGTCATGGTCGGCCGGCCTGGGAGCCCCATCTCCGTCCAGGCACACTGGGAGAACCGCGTCAGCTTGGCGATCCGCTTCTGGTTGCTGCTGAACAGCAGGAACTTGCACGGTGGGTTCAGCGTGCTCCGGATCGACAGCCAGCGGACGAACCAGGTGAACTCCGCGTGGGTCAGGAACAGCTGGGCAGCTCCGAAGGCCCTGTTGGTCTTGTGGTTCCTCACCTGAGAAGGGATGAGATCGTGAGCTCCAGGAGCATGGAGCTCAGTGCACCTGGTTCTCTGCCCGGAGCTCCATGCCCCTGGTTCTCATACATCCACTTACATTGATTACAAAGCCTGGAGAGCCTTCCTCAGCATCCTCTATCGCCTCCTGGAGCTCCTCCACCGTCATGTTGGTCAGCACGCCAGGCCGGTGGCCGTAGACAGCAGACAGGTAGCAGGCCAGGTAGCCGTAGAGCCTGTGGCGGAGCTGGACGTTCGGTGGTGCTGCCTCCAGCTTCCCCAGCAGGACAGGGATGGTCGCCGTGGCCAGGCTCTTGCACTTCCGCAGGTGCTTCCTGGTGATGGACCTCTTCGCCTTGGAGCGCTTAACGGAGATCTGGTGGAGCGTTATCTCGGTTCCGATCTGCTGGAGGTCCGCTCTGACCGCCCTGCCCACAGCCCTGATCTGTCTCCTGGTCCGCCTGGATCCTCTCGGCGGAGTCTCGGAGAAGTAGTCCATGAACTGTGAGAAGTTCACCAGGTAGACCTTGACGGTTGTTATGGTCCTCCGGTTGTCCTTCAGGGCTTGTGGGAAGGCGTGGATCTTCTCCAGGTCGGGCATGAACGCCCAGGTGGCGTTGAGAGATTACCCCCGGGCAACGAAGGAGAGAAGGGTCCGGATCCGGCCCAGCTTGGAGCGTGCATTCATGCGGTGCTGTGGGGTGGACAGCGCGCCCCTCAGGTGTGTGTTGTTCTCCTCCAAGTAGCTCTCCACGGCTGCGGGGAAGACGAGAGGGGCAAAGGACAGCAGGACAAGCCCTCGCACCGCCCTGGTGCTGCTGGAGCTGGCCGGAGGGTCAGAGTCGCTCGTCGCCGTCCCGGCAGGAGCAGGGGAGCCAGGGTTGGAAGCAGGACCAGGAGGGGGGGAGCCAGAGTGGGGAGCAGGACCAGGAGGAACAGGCGGACCAGGAGGACCAGGAGGACCAGGAGGAGGAGAAGAGCTGGCCATGGGACCAGGAGGAGGAGGAGAAGAGGCGTTGGAACCAGGAGGCGGCGAGGCGGGCAGAGAACCAGGTCTGTGGGAGCGAGGCGGAGAATCCCTACCGGAAAGTGGCTCCGGAGCGGTCCGCTGCGGTGTCCCCGGAGAAGAGTAGACATCTCCGTCCTCCCCCGGCGATTCTGGGGCCGGCGGCTGCAGCTCCGAGACGTCCAGCTCGGATGCTAGCTGTGGCGTGGGCTCCGTGGAACTCAGCTCTGCCAGCGCGCGGAAGGTGGCCCTCCAGTGCAGAAGGCGGAGGTGGTCCCTCACGGCCCCGATGTCCAGCTCCTTGTGACCCGCGTACAGGTGCCGTTCCCCTCTCGGTCCTCTGTAGTTGCACCCCCGGACGGGACAATCCAGGCCCCGGACGTTGACCCGTCCGGGGGCAAATGCCAGGAGGATTTTCCGCTCCTCCTTGTTCAAAACGTGGTGAACCCTTTCTAAATGCTTCGGCAGCTGAGCAAACTTACTGCAGCAGATGGGACAACGTCTGTAGGGTCCTTGGTGTGGCATCTGGAGGCTTCCCTGGTGCTCAAAACGTGGAGTAGAAGCGTCTCTGTCCGGC